TTGTGTAGTTCGTTCGCAATTTCGCGTTTAGACATTTGGAATACGTTTTATTATACCCGCTTCTTGCAGTTCTTCAAAAATGGATATTATTTCGTTCGAAACACCTGTATTACCAGCCGCTTTTGACGCTAATAGTAACCGCAATCTATCGACTAGTTCGTTAGGATCGTTCCAGTAAACTAAACTATGTTTTTGTAATTTCAAAGATAGACCTCTACCCGCTAGAAATAAATTTTGGATTATATCATAATATTTATTTCCACCTTTTTTAATTTCTTTTCCATCTGTTTTTAGATGCGCTGATGTTTGAATTAATATAGATTTATATGATTCTAAATCATGTTTGGTGTAGAATTTTGGAGATTTTGAAAACACTAAATTACCAAGCCCTTGTGTTAACGGGTATGAAGTATCTTCAATAATCAATTTATTCCCGACAAGATTAATTTCTTTTTTCCCTAAATATACACTTCCGTTTGATCGTATTTTTGGTCCATACGTTTTGTCTATATCGTAAGACTTAAACCAGTCGTTTATTTTAAAATCTGACGAATCGTCTGTATTGTTTATTTCAAAATATTGAGAATCTTGAGAGTCTTTTCCAAGTTCCGTGGGTGGGTTTTGAAATGTTGCAGGATTTAAATGTTTTATTTCGTTTAATGGTTCGATAATCGGACTTAATGTTTCTGATACTATTGAGTGAATATCAGCTTTTCCGTGTTTTAATGCTTCATACTTGCGTTTAATATTTTCTTTGGCTTTAATCAATTCTCCGAGTACCTCACCGTTAGAAGCCATGTCTGTGAATGTGGTGTTTTCATAAAAACAACACTTTATATAACGACGAATGTGTCAAATCCGAGGCGATATCGACCATTGTCACGTTCACAGTCTTTGTTTATTACGATAAACTCGAATCTCCCCCGACTCCAACACGATGTACTAAAGTATTTAAACTCTGAATATGACATATCACCAGAGCAATGCTCATTGTATACATGCTTTAAATTAGTTTCGTCTTGTTTAAATAACACAATAAAATTAGCGTTATCACGCAAAAGTTGTTTTGGCACTTTTGAATAACTCTGAGCCAGGTAGCAAACGTCTATTAAATTATGTCTAGCTCTGGAAAAGTAAGTTCTTGCAATATTTTGGTTTTCAGAAATAATATCGTCAAAAATAAATACAGAGTTTGGCAAAGCTTCTTCAGGTGCTATAACTTTTTCATTTTCGTAGAACGTGAATAATTGTATTCCATCAATGTCTGATAATATATCGCTAAGCATTTTATATTTAGGCTGATCCAATGTTTTCGAATATATGTATACGTTTTGAAATCGTATTCCGTTTATATTGGTTAATAATGTGTAAATTAAATTTGTTTTTCCGCAGCCAGAAGGGCCCACGATAAGCGCGCGTATCGTATTTGGTAGAAGCGCTCCGTGTCTGTGTTTTTGATCTGATGTAGGCGGGTCCACGTTTTCAACTGTTAGTTTTATTTCTTGTTTGATGAACTTCATTTTTTATATAAATAACTAAGCAACTATGATAAATCAATCAGTACACAATGTCACTCGCTCGAAGAAGCAACAAGAATAAGGGCAGTGGACTTATCAACACGCTTATAAACAAATTACCAATCGAGCTTCACGTACCTGGTATTATATATATAAACCTTATAATATTATAATATATACAATAATAATTTTATATTCTAGGTTATCAATACTGTGGACCTGGTACAAATTTAAAAAAACGATTAGCACATGGTGATAAAGGTATAAACCCTCTGGACTCTGCTTGTAGAGATCACGATATTGCATACGAACATAGCAACTCTATCGCAGATCGAAACAAAGCCGATTATATATTAGAGCAGCGAGCCTGGGATAGGTTCAAGTCAAAAGATTCTAGTTTAAAAGAAAAAGCTGTGGCTTGGGGTGTGACTACCGCTATGAAAACAAAACGTAAAATAGGCGGAGGTTGTGGGTTTAAAGCAGCACTTAAAGCAAGTAAAAACGTTATAAAGAAAAATATCGGTGAAAAAAACTTGATGAAATTAACTAAAAAATGTGTAGCTGTCGCGCGAAAAACATTTAAAATTAAGAAGACTAAAGTTCCACGAACAATAACGATCCCGAAAAAAGGCGGCTTGTTACCACTCATACCGATTTTTGCCGGTTTGTCAGCTCTGGGAGCCTTAACTGGTGGTGTTGCCAACGTTGTGAAAATGGCTAATGAATTTAATAGACACACACCATCGCATTTAGGCAAAGGTTTATATCTAACACCGTATAAAGGCAACTCATACAAAATTGATTCCGGTTTATATCTCGCACCATTTAAAAGTGGAGGGGGTGCCAAAACTAAAAAAAACTAATATCTACGTTACCCAGGAGAGCGTTGTACGATTTCGAACTTATAAAAATCGCTCGTTTAATGAAAATACCTCATTTCATCGGCGTGTTTACCAGAGATAGGTTATCTACACGTCCTAAACGCCAAGAATCAGCGATTATTAACTTGGACACGGAAAACGGTACAGGAACGCATTGGGTAGCGTATAAAAAAATCGGAAATCAAGTTAAATATTACGACAGTTTTGGAAATTTACCACCCCCACTTGAAGTACAACAATATTTTCGCGGATGTGACATACATTTCAATTACAGCAGGGAGCAAAATTATAATACTACAAACTGCGGACATTTGTGTTTAAAATTTTTATCATGTTCACATTAACGTTAAACGGAAACTCTAGTGAGCTGTCATGCGAGATCTTTCCACCGTTGGAAGTAGAAAATACTGCACAGATATGTCTTTTGAGTTTACAGACAAATAATTCTATACCAAACATAGAACCTGGCTGTAATACTATTGCCTTTCGTAATTTAATCAATGAAAATGAGTACGTAATTATACCTACAGGAACATATGAGTTGAATCAGTTAGAGTCTATTATTCAAAAAATTATGCCCGACTATGTCACTATGTTTGAATTAAAGCAACAGCAGAACATTAAAGTGTACGATATCGTGCAGCCATGATGTTGATTTAGGAGTCAAGAATAGCATAGCGAAATTGCTAGGTTTTAGAAATGTACGATACACTACTGGTGCTACTCATGAATCTGAAAATATTGTCAACATAATGAAAATAAACTGTATAAAAGTAGAGTGTAATTTAATCACCGGCTCATTCTGTGACGGAGCGCCGAGCCAGACTATACACGAGCTTTACCCCACTGTGCCTGCTGGGTATAAAATCGTTGAAGTACCTAGACACCCAGTTTTTTATGGTCTCAACACGAGATCTATAAGTAGAGTAATTATCGTTCTAAAAGATCAAGACGACTGTCTAATTAATCTTCGCGGTGAACCAATAACAGTCCGCCTACAAATCACGCGTGGATATGGCGCTCAAATTTAACATTAATATAAAAAGAGCTACAATCAAAAAACCTATCAGTTTACCACCTGCCGTTAAGAAGTCAACATCTATGTCAAAATCGAAAAAAACTATCTCTAAACCGAAAAAAAACAAGTCCAAGCTCACTAAAAATAATTTAAATTTTCTCCGATCGCTACAAGTATAATTATGGATGACACGTATTTAGACGTTACGGCCGACTATGTCGACGAGTGTAAAATAACGCAGATGAATTATCATTCGTTCACTCCGTACTCAAACATGTCTTTATCAAATAATGATGAAATAAGGATAAGTATTTTAAATATGGATTCGTACACTTTACCGTGTGAAAGTTATATTTACATCGAGGGAAAAGTAAATAAGCCTACCGATGCTGTTGGAGATGTTCGTTTTTCAAATAACGGATTGGCATTTTTATTCTCTGAAATGCGATATGAAATAAACGGAATAGAAATACAGAAATTAAAATCACCCGGAGTTTCGTCTTGCTTGAAAGCATACTGCTCGTATTCACCAAACGATTTGAATACTCTAGAGAGCGCTGCTTGGGACTCTGCCATGGATAGTGAAGATAATAAAAATTTTATGTCCAACGATGTATTTACCGGGTGTATCCCTCTAAAACATTTATTCGGATTCTGTGAAGACTATAAAAAAATATTACTTAATTGTAATCAGCAACTGATTTTAAATCGTGCATCTACCGACCTTGATGCGATACACGTTGTTGGTGCGGGTGCGACTGCAGCCTTGACAAAAATAAAAAAATTAAAATTGACCTTACTAAGGTGACTTGGAAGATGCCTATTATCAAAGTCAGTGATAAAGAAAAATTAAGACTGATAAAAGTAATAGATTCCCATAGAACACTGTCGTGTGCGTTCAGAACTTGGGACCTGTGCGAATATCCGATACTTCCTAGAAATACTTCTCATTCGTGGACGGTAAAGTCTAGTAGCCTGCTAGAAAAACCGAGATTTGTACTGTTTGGGTTACAAACAGATCGAAAAAAAAATATTGAAAACGATGCTGGGAGATTCGATCACTGTCAACTAAAAAACCTTAAGGTCCACTTAAATTCTGAAGTGTATCCGTACGAAGACTTTCGTGCAGATTTTAAAAATAATACAACCAGTATTTTGTATAAGGCCTATACAGACTTTCAAAAATCGTATTATGAGCGAGATTATTGCGAGCCATTATTATCAAAACACATTTTTCAAAACTACGTCCCAATCGTCGTAGTTGATTTATCACGTCAAAACGATAATGTGAAGTCGTCTACCATAGATCTACGTATTGAATTTGAAACGGATACAGTTATTCCAGAAAAAACTGCAGCATATTGTTTAATACTACATGACCAGATTATAACTTACAACCCGTTTAGTGGCGATGTTAGAAAATTGTAAACCTTGTAAATATTTTTTACCTTATAACTATTTTATACCTTGTAAATATTTTATACCTTATAACTATTTTGTGCCTTATATTCTAATAATGAAAAACTTGTTTTAAGTATCACGCTTGTTTTTATTTCACACAAATTATTTAACTCCATACAAATATTAAAATAGTCGTCGCTTAACATTACGTACTGGTGCTGGGTGTTCGGCAAATGTTGGTTTACATGGTGTTGACGTATAAGTCGGATTAAAGTAGGGTGTTGACGTACCAATCGGATTGAAGAAATCCGATCCATCATTTACGTCGAATGGTGGGCTTGCAGGTGATTGTAGTAGTCGACGCTTCGCATTGCGTACTGGTGCGTTGTGTTCGGTAAATGTTGGTTGTGAGACGGTGTGGCGTAATGAATTGAGAAGGTGATAGAGTCCTGAATTGGCGGAAAAAATCTGGTCCACCATTTTCATCACAAGGTTGACGGCTATGAATCTCATCTGGTACTTGTAATAGGTTACCAATAGACTGGAAAAAAAAAAATAAATAATATTGTTTTTTATTTAAAAAAAAAGTTTATATAATTACCTCTGACTGTCTAAGTGTATCGCATCTGAGTGGCAGATCGTCATGTAAGCTAGATATAGGAGAAAATGTTGGCGATATCGGGGAATCAATTTCACCATTCTGCGACTAAAAAAAAAACTTGTATTAAATATTTTTTTTATACATATAATAATATATTTATGCATTACCTCATGCGACATCCGATTTAACACAGATTCTGCTAGTTGAACAGTTGCGTACATTTGAATTTGGGTGACCATGTTTGGGTAAGTTTTTTCTGTTCGTTCGTCTTTTAAGTTTTGATGAATATTACATATCTTGCAAATTTTTCGGTGGTGATTTAAGGCGAGCACATTTCTCATATATGTACGTCGCAAACTCCTTAGACTGTTTTATAATTAGCGGAGTGGTGTATACTTGTTTCCTCACAATACTTTCGAAAATACCACATTCAAGATATTGAAGCCTAATAATGTCTGCTCGATTCAATAGTACTCTACAACCGTCTTGAGTTAATGATTCAATAACTAAGACATTTTCTTTGCAATACACCATACTAGATATTTTATGAAATTCTGTCTCAAGAAATATAAAGCGCTTGTACTTCAGAGGTGTATCTAATATGAATGATAAGATATGCCCCATCATAGAGAATATACGTCTACGAAATCTGGTGGTATATTTACATGGCGAGATGATGTTAATAAATGAACGGCGACTTGGAAATTTTCAGATGGGTCAATACCAATGTGTACAAACTTACGGTTCGTAAAGTCGAGCGTGTAGATTGTGGATTCGATGAGTTCAGCAGGCGGTGTAGGTGGCACATAAGTGAAGGTCTTCTTTTTGTTTAACGCAGCGTTTTCTTCGATTGATCCAGCCATGTTTAAACTCACAAACAATTTTCAGAGCGAGCGAAAAAATATACAAACAATTTTCAGAGCGAGCGAAAAAATATACGTGAACAACGGTTAAGGGCAGTAGACGGACTAAACGATTGCCGACTGCCGAGTCGTCAGATGTCTCTAGAAGTTTAAACAGGTGGGGAATTTTACAGTGCGCATGCGTACGATAGGTGCGGGTGTAGTCTCTAGAAGTTTAACAGGTGAGGGAAATTTAGGTGCGCATGCGTCAGTGATAGGGGATGTATACTAATAGCCGGTGGTCATCTGAACGCTGCGCATTGCGTACGAAAGGTGCGGCGGCCGATGATGGCAGGGAAAAGGGTGGCGGGGAAAATATACATGTCGCACACGTGAGCAATGTGCCGCCGGTGGCAAATATATAAGTCGCGCACGTACGCGAAAGTGCGGCGGCCAATGGTCAAAGGATCAGAAGGGTCAGAGGGTCAGAAGGGTCAGAGGGTCAGAAGGGTCAGCGGTCAGAAGGGTCAGAGGGTCAGAGGGTCAGAAGGGTCAGAGGGTCAGAAGGGTCAGCGGTCAGAAGGGTCAGAGGGTCAGCGGTCTGAACATACCAAATCATACTACTGACCAGGAAACATTTTTTGCAATACAGCAAATCATTTGGACAATATTATTTTTGAAAATAACTTTAAAAAAAACCTTACTTAATGTAGTTTAATAAATAAATAAAAAATTTCCATATCTTGTATAGTTTTTTTTTTTAATCACCTCGGAAAGTGGGAGTCCATTATTCCGCACCCTGTATTATGTGAAATAACGACGCTGTGTATCTCGACAAAATAATAATATGCTAACAATATGATATAAAACACAATAATGATCTCCGGCTATTCGAGCCAGATCACAATAATATATAAAAACAATAATTTGATCTTACAAGTTACAAGGCGATTCGCGCCTGCAACGCATAATATAATAAACAGAATGGCGATTTTCACTGTTTTCGCGGTAACGGTAATTAACTATCGCTTAACTTTTGTACGATTTATCCAAACGTGTGTTATAATGAATAATGATGAATGTTTTTCGTCGTGTGATAGCACAAAAGTCACCATTGTTCAGTATGAAAAAATTATTCTGGTTGAAAAAAGCAAACATAAGATTGCTAGGTGTGGAAGCTATATATTAATATTTTTAATTATCCAATAAATAAAAACATCCATAAATGTTCAATTTAAAAATATTATATTATACGATATTATAAATAATTAGCGAGAGTTTCGAAACTCTTACATTGGTACTTAATTAAATTAGTAGATAATAAAAAAAATATTATTCAAAGTTAATGTGTAGTAAATTTAAATATGTTTTCCTTGTGCACGAATATGAAAATAAATAAATTACTTCACTGATCTATAAGATTTATTTTCATCCAAATTGCCATAGAAGATTATTAAAAACTAATGAATTACTTGTTGTTTGTTCATAATCTAAAAGGGCTTGTTAAATTACTAAAATATATCCTATATAATATATTAATATATACACATTATACCTACTTCATACACAAAAAGAGTAGGCTGTAAGAGTATACTACCGGTATACCTATACCTACCTAATCTGAAATGTAAACTGAGTAATGATGTAATTTTTGCCTACGTAATATTGGTACCTATTATATTATATTCAATAGTCACGTATATTATTGTCGTTGTGATTATACAATCCATTAACGTAGCTTGGGGTGACTTTGATATGGGCAGACCAGATTGATTTTTATTGGAATTATTTATTTATTTATTTATTCATGTTGTATTGTTACACTATTTGTAAAATAATAATTTCGATTGTCTGTGTAAGTTCAAATAAGATCGTTGTTTTTATTTGTTTTTAACTACACCAAAATAAGAAATATTTTGATGAGGAAAAATAGTTATTTTACACATGAATATTTGATTTTATATAAATACATTTTTTGCTCCGTTTAGAATCTAAAAACATATTTATCTATAATTGATTCGACATATTAGTGGTAGAGTAAGACTGTAAGACTGATAAGAACATTATTAAATTAAAAAAACTGTGTAATATATTTAGTATTCCTAATTTAAGGCAATGTGCAGGTGCCTAAAACTTGATGTAAGGACACCGTTTTTGGTTTTATTTTTTATTTTGAAGTCTATTAAATAATTGTGCATAATTATCTAAAGAAAAGCTATAGCCATCAAAATTTAAGGTACATGGTATTATGGTTGCAGTGACTTACCGATATTCGACCAATAATCAATATTACCTAAACGCCTATGCAACAAATAGGTCGAAGTACCTATATTGTGTGTGTGACGGATTTCCGGTGACAAATTTAAAACGCTGTCCCCCATCATAGTTTTCAGACACGTGCGGCATAATCGTCACAAAAATTGTGGCTACCAGTGCCTGCATATATTGTTGCAATGCTCAATTGTCGCACAGTTTTATATTTTTTTTCGGACCTTTGATCGTCCTGCGCCGATTGGTTGTTAGTGTGGATCGTGACGTACACAATTATAATGATATTAAGGTGAATAAAAAACAATTTCACAAAAAAACACGCAATCTCACAACTAACCTATTCTAGAACTACGAAGTACTAGCCTAACTAGTATAGTACCTATCACGTGCCGGGTGGTCGATGAAAATCGGCAAACGATTTTTTTCTCCTGTATCATTACTGAAAAAATGTAATTGGCTTCCGAAAATATTCCACAGTGCAAAACTTTCTACAAATAACAAAACATTCTATCAGATAGAGAATCAAGAATTATTACTAATTCTTAGAATTATACCTATCTAATTATTATTCATTAAAATATAAGCAACCCACTATAATTATAACTAATACGTAATTACTTTGTATAATAATATGAATGGTGTGGTTGTGTCATAATTATCTGGAGCAACTTATTATTAATCTATAGCACTATTCATTTATCGTATGGCATATTGGCATCTATGCCACTGCCTACGGGCTACGATATATACCTACTCTGGCTACTAAACAGTAAACAGTATAGGATCGTCTCTGCCTGTCAACTGTCCTTGTCGCTCAGCGGTGGTCAAATGATTTTGTAATGGGGGGGGGGGCAAGCCCGTATTAGAGACCTTCGGGGGCCCCAGACCTCCACCCCCCCCCCACCCAATGAAAACAAATCTCTTTAAAATAGGTAATACAAATGTATAATAAAACAAATTTAAACTTTTTTAGTTAAGTATAATAAAAACATTATTTTTTAGTATAATACATATTATATCTACAATTAAAATTAGTGTTTTATATAAAATATTTTTTCAAGCTTTTTGTGTAGCAAATGCTTCTAATGTCTTATCAAAGCTTAAACATTGTAGAATATAAATTTCTGTTTATTCTTTTGTCCAGTTCTGAGCAAAATTTATAATTTATTACATGATGTATTACAACCAGACATTTATTATTACCACTAAGTATAGTTAAACCCTTATTGTTACCATTAGGAATTTTATGATTTTTCTTTTCTTGATCCACAGTAAACTTGGTGGTAGACGGGTGACAAGACCCAACGTCAGTTAGTTCAAGAAAAAAAAATTCTTGTAGGCACTATAAAGTTTACAAATTATCACTCAATGTAATTTTAATCCGAAAAGACTATTGGCCTTTTACATACGTGAGCTCTGGGGACGTGGTCCCCCTTGCCCCATTTTAATCCATGCTTAGGGTATGGATGATTTTTTTTTAAATGTTAGTAATTTAGTATCATTTATTTAAAATACAAAGTTTAAAAAGCCACTCTGCTGTACAGTAGGTTACAAAGGGGTCACTGTATAATGGTAGGTATTAATTTTGGATTCAATGATATAATATCAATATATCATTCAATCATTGTAGAAGAAAAACGATTTATGCACTTATAATATAGTGTATTAATTATTACTATAATGTGACATATTAAAAATTGAGTAAAGACTAGCACGTTACAAGAAAATTTTCCAAACTTACCAGTTATAATGTCACTGTTGAATATCGAAAAAAATTGAAGAAATCAATTAAAACTGAAGATATTATATCATTACATTTGCATATGAAAACAATACAAATGCTTTTATAGGTAGGTACGTTAAATATCATTAATCAATAATATTTTTTTTTAATAATCGATTATTATAATTATTATAAATATTTAAATATTTTAAATAAAGGAATAAAGTAGTTTGTTTATTTATTTTAACACCACTAAAATGTAAGATCTAGTTGGCAGTTGCACCTATGAGTAATATCGATAAATAGCCAGATCAAACACTTATTTTATAGGACATTCGATACTCCATTATATATTTTTGTTTTTTACTCTGCCTGTGACCCTGTGTCCTAAATTACTAGTATGGTCCAAATAATACCTACTTATTTCTCTCATATTTTAATATTTACAATTTTAAAAATATTATCAATTTTCCGTCGAAAATAATACTAAATACTTAGGTACAACCTCATTTAACAGGTATGCGAGTTACCAGTTTCGAATTTCGATAGCTGACATGTAGTCATGTAGATAGTATTTAATACCAACATTGTTTTCTTTAATTAATGCACTGAAAAAATTATTTGGTTATAGTAAATGGTTGTATTATTTTGGTTGGCTGAACCATATAGATACCTTTACCTAATCGTTTAGTTGGTAGTAACAAAAGTATTTAGTTGGTCTGAATTAGATGAAATAGTATTTACAACTGCAGTTAATAGTTAAATATTTGTTAAAACCATTTTAACAGGTTCCACCTGCATTGTGACATGGTTGAAAAAATGAAAATAACAATAGAACTATAATACAATTATATACCTATGTATTTAAAAATAGTTTTTCAGCTGCGGTTAAATCAGGTTCGTCGCTTGTGTGCCGACTGCCGATTAATTATAGTTGGAAACTTCAAAAATTGTTCATTTATACATACGATATCGGTATTATCTTTGATTAATATGTTATTATTTTATAATATAATATATTATTATCTAATGGCAAATGACAATAGTTATGGTTACTCCATACTCACCTGTCGCCATTTGCATTTTCGCAATTGATTTTTGAGTTTTTAACTTCTGTTCTCGGTAGTTCTTTCATTAGTCATTGAGTGTATACAGTTTATGTACGTCAAGTATAGTAGATTAATGCATGTTGGATATTTCGCTCGTGTATCTCTCAACATGGATAATTTTGTTTTAAAAAACTTGAATCAATTGAACGTTCCGCAAAATATTGTTCAAGAATTTAAAGGTAAGTTTCTTACGAGTAATAATATAAATAAATATAGCTTATATGAATTAGGGTTACCTAGTCTAGTTGTTTGTTAGAATGAAAGCGTATGTAGCAAGTATGTAGGTTGGACGTAGATACTAACTACTTAAAAAAAATATTATGATATATTATTTAAAATCCAAAATTGTATAATTTATTATTTCTGATTGAATAGCATATGTTTTTAATGGTTAGATAATAGAGTAGATGAAGAAGCTTTCTTATGCCTTAGTGAATCAGCGGCGTATTTACTGGGGGGGGAGGGGTTGGGGGATCAATCCCCCCTTGGTATTTTTTTTGCTATTATTTAATGATTCAAGTATA